TGGCATCTGAATTTATTGGCTACAATGTGCTGGTGACATTGAAAGAGCCACACGGTGGAAGGCTGGTGGGCCAGGTCGCCAACGTGTTTGGGCAGCGCTTGTTGCTCCAGGATGGTGAGCCATGAATGAGTTCAGTATGTAATATCATAATAACTAACCCTTTGATAATTAGTCACATTTCTCTGGAACGGTCAACGCCTGCCTCAATATTCCATTGATGCCTCTGCTATCACCACCCTCTCTCTCGAAACCAATACCCAGGTTCCCTCGCAGCATCAGCACCTACCTCAGCTTCAACCTCAGCATCAACCTAACCCCCAGCTTCAACCTTATGCAGCAATGCCCTTGCCCCCAGCGCCCACTCAATCTACTCCAACACAGCAACAATTTACCGACCCGGCTATTCTGAGTTTTTCAAAAGCTCCTCTCGTATCTAATCCGTTTGTTGAGAATGCGCCAATGACTGTCTCCGCCAGCCAACACCCTGGGGTGGTCTCGGCCTCTTTGGTTGAGCCATTTAGCAGCCTGGAATTGAATGCAGATAGTGACAAGACCGGAATACAAGGGACCTCCCACAAGAAATTACTCCAAAGCCCACAGGAACTGTCACCATCAAAACAGACACCAAAGCGGAGTCGGCGTGGCAACCAAGAGAATGTACGGGAAGAGAGAGGATATGTCGCTAAACACGGCGGCGCAGCAAGCACCAACCCAAAGAGCAAAGGCTGGCGCCAGACTGCATTTGTGGAGCCAGCTGTACCTGCATTCCAGGATTCACCTGAAGCTATGAGCCGGTCTGGAAATAAACTTCGCAAGAAGAAGTCACGCCGTTATGCCGAAGACCCAAGTGGTTGGGCAACCGAAGATGCTACTGATATCCAAGAGCTGGGCGAATTCGACTTCGCAAGCAACCTGTCCAAATTTGACAAGCGGACTGTATTTGAACAAATTCGAAACGATGACACTACCGCAGACGAGGAGCGATTGGTGAGCTTCAACCGAAGAGTCAAGCCGGGCACCAACGGCGGAAAGAACCTACACTGGACGGAGAACGTACTCGATAGCCCACAGAACAGCGACACCGGGGATGATGTTGAAGGAATTAGTGAAATCAAGCTGAGCAGCGAGACACTTTCGGGACGCGAGCGGCCAAGGGCGCCTGCGCACGCTCAGCCTCCCCGCAAAGACAGCGCGATGCAGGCCCCGCCAATGGTGCCACAGCTCAGTGCGCTTGGCCGCAGCCAGCTTCACGTCAACATTTCTCGTACAACTAGCCCTCGTCCAAGCCGATCGTCGGTGTCGCCAATGATTGCTCCCAATGTTTCTAGTGCTGGAGCTTTCCGGCTCGCAACCACCAATCGCAGCTGTCCTACGGTGAGCCCGTTGCAGACTCTGGAGATCGAGCAAATCTCGGTCGCCGAGTTTGGATTGGCCGATGAGATCATTACAGAGAATGCAGGTCGGGGAATAGCCGAGGCTGCCGTGGCTCTTCTATCCAATGATGCTGCTGCACCCACTATGCTTATCCTTACTGGCAACCATCGCACTGGGGCAAGGGCTATTGCTGCTGCTCGCCATCTGCGTAACCGAGGTCACCGGGTTACAGTCTGTTTGCTCGGGCTCGAACACGAAGCTGAATTGCTGGAGAACTGCCGCAAACAGCTCGATATCTTCCGCAAGGTTGGGGGACGTGTGCTCAAATGGGAAGAACTATCCGCCCGTTTGGCCACCTCGGACCTAGGGCCCGACTTGATTATTGACGCGTTGTTTGGCATGCATCTGTCCTTTGACGACCTTCGAACTGACGACCAGGGTGTGGCCTTTGAGATGATTGCGTGGATGAACCGCAGCAACGTCGATGTGTTGTCTGTGGATGTCCCCTCCGGACTCAATGCTTCTACTGGTAAGTACTTACGAAGACTAGTCCAAACCGGTGTGGCTAATACAGAAAAATCCACAGGCGAGGTTACTCTGGTCGAAGGTGGCCGACTTTGCGTCAATGCCACATCTGTGGTGTGCCTCGGAGCGCCCAAGACTGGTGTGCTGAATGCTGTTCTGTCTGGTGAAAGACTGTCCTGGAATTTGGCAGTTGCCGACATCGGAATCCCTCAGATCGTCTGGAGAAAGTACGGTACCCGTCGCCGCCATGGAATTGATTTCGGAAACAAATGGGTCGTGCCATTGAAGTACCAACCCGCAATTTCCTAAACACGACGGCCCTTTCTAATCCTATGAATTACCACGATCTACATTGTCATCGGAGGCGTTTTCAATTTGCGTGATGATTCAGGCGGAGCTGGTAGCTCCGTTCACACAGCGTTTGTTTTAATGATGCATGGGTTTCTAGGATTTCTAGCGGGGGGTTAGCACTTGTACATGTATGATTATCCACTGGCCTTGTTCTGACCTCAGGATCTGGACAAATGGCCCGAAATGTCGAAGCCAGATAATACGAATGGAATTTTAAGCCCATATTTCCCTTGTAGAAGTTGGTGATACCTATATCTTGCTCGAAGAGGGTAATGGAGCCTACCGCCTTTTACTCCGCTTACTTATTGATATATTTTCTGCACTGCAATATTATTCGCCCCGTAATCTCAAAGCGGTAAGCGTCCTGCCGTCATTCGATCTCCGCGGGCTGCGCTGCGCGAAAGTTGCTGAACAGCCTGATCTTCAATTATGGGAAAAGGTATGTCCTGTGTGAGGGATTTTTTGTACATATTCACTAACACTGGTGACTATAGGAACCGATAAGCTTTATGTACGCGACATTTTCCTCTACATTCCAATACTCACATCTTGAATCCCCGCTGATAAGTGTACTCTCTCTAGATCACACACTCCGAGTGGGCATCTGCAGATGCTTTCTCGGCCAGTGCTGGCGCTGGAGTTTCCAAGGCCAAGAAGGGCGGCCCCCACGCCGCGTTCAAGCGCTTGCCGTTCAATTTCTGTTCCCTCTCCCTCCAACCATTTTCACACCCGGTTTGCACGCCTACAGGAACACTCTTCGACCTCACAAACATTCTGCCATGGATCAAAAAGCATGGGACCAATCCTGTCGATGGGGCCCCATTGAAGAGCTCGGACTTGATTAAGTTGACTCTCGCAAAGAACGAGGATGGTGACTACGTCGATCCGGTGACCTACAAGATTCTGACCGATAATACACATATTGTCGCATTACGGAATACAGGGAATGTCTTTTCCTGGGATACGGTGGAGCGACTCAACATCAAGGGAAAATTGTGGCGCGACTTGGTCACGGATGAGGAATTCAGCCGAAAAGATATTATCACCTTGCAGGACCCGCAGAACATTGAGTCGCGCAACCTCAGCTCGTTCAACTACATCAAGGAGGGGGAGACAGGAATCTTGGACGGTCAACCGACCTCTGGGAGCGTCAACACCAGTGCGCTCGGCAGCTCGGCGAAGATCCTGAAAGCGAAAGAGGCAGTTGCAAAGGCACGGTCAGAGCGTGCTCAGCAGGCTGGTTCTGCTGCGGCTGGCTCGAAAGCGGGTTCGAAGACTGTAGCTGCGAATGTGGCTTCCAAGGGGCAAACGGGAAAGCCAACACCCTACAACGCTGCACGATTCACTACGGGCAAGGCGGCTGCGTCGTTTACTAGCACCGGGCTGACGCCGCACACGTCTGCCGAGCTGGCGGTACTATCGGAGGAGGAATACATGCTCAAGCGTGGTCGCGTGAAGGCCAAGGCTTACGCGCGCATTGTGACCACCGCCGGGCATCTCAATCTGGAGTTGTATCCCGAGCATGCGCCCAAAGCCGTATGGAACTTCCTTCAGTTGGCCAAGAAGGGCTATTACAACGATATACCATTTCACCGTAATATCAAGGGCTTCATGCTCCAGGGTGGTGATCCAACTGGTACTGGACGAGGTGGTGAGAGTATTTGGGGCAAATACTTTGCCGATGAATTCGACGGGCCTTTGAAGCACGATTCCCGAGGCACGCTGAGCATGGCCAACAAAGGCAAAAACACAAATAGTAGTCAATTGTAAGTGGGCCCCTGATATTACCCCTGGCTCAATGAGTGCGCTAACATGTGCTTTCAGCTTCATCGCCTATCGAGCCCTACCTCATCTCAACCTCAAGCACACCATCTTCGGCCGTCTAATCGACGACCCAACGCCTTCGTCCACTACTTTGAATAAGCTAGAGATCCACCCAGTGGAATCAACTACGAATCGCCCTACCCCCGATATTCGTATTAAGGAAATAACGGTCTTTGTAGATCCGTTCGAGGACTTCCTGGCCCAGAAGCGCGCCGAAGAGGCGCGGGCCACAGGTGCCACGGGTCCTTCTGCAGAAGAGGAAGAGGAGATTTCTCGCCGTGCGGACGATGATCGTGTCACCTGGACTGGAAAGCGAGTCCGCGGTTCTGAGGCGGACTCAAATGATGGCGGTGCCTCTGGTGTTGGAAAGTATCTGAAGGCAGCACTGGAAGACCGGGATGGACAGGAAGAAGATGAGATTGTAGAGTTTCTGGACGAGGAGATTGCACCTGAGCCCGCTCGTAAAAAGGCCAAGGTGCCTGGAGGCTTTGGAAACTTTAGTTCGTGGTAATAGATCTAATTCCTAATGCTTTCTTTTCTTCTCCTTTGAGTTGTAGTTTAATATGAATATACTTGATCACATCCTGCAATTGCATCTTACAAACATATCCACTGCATACAAACCGGATATTAAGCCGTTCTCAATGCCCATGGCACATAGTCCCGGCGTGAAGGCGATTGCGAATATCATTTACCACGGCCTTTTGCATAATACGAGACTTACATCGGGCGATGCCGCATGAGATCTTGCAGTGCTTCCTTTCTCACAAATGTTTCACAATACAACGCGGATGCCGACAGCTTTTTTTTCTAGATGGCCTACTCAAAATGAAACACATACGGCTCGCCCTCCTTAAGTCCACCTTGAATTATCTTATTTGGTTTAGATCATCACGCTTTGCTAACTAATCTATGTGTTCTTGAAACTAAACAGCTAACCTCGCAAACTCCGTGGACACCATATCTGCACTAGCTTCATCCACTTCAACTTGAACATCTACTTTCTCACTTTCCTTGGCCCCGGTCTCCGCTTCCTTGGTCTCGCCTTCTTCCCTTTCCGCCTTCTTCTTTGCAATATCTACCTGGCTTAGTGTATATTCGTCTGGATCCCACGCCAAAACTCTGCTCTTCATATTTTCCAGTTGCTGGGAAACGAGCTTTTCCATAGCACACTTTTCCTCGGCATTCAAATGCTCAAGTCTCTCTTTCCATGCATCGGCAGGGTCGGGGCACGTAGTCGGTCCAAAAAATCGCCTATCGATCTTTTGCCAGTATATCGCGTCAAATGCAAAGTTGTTCCTCGCGGCGTACGCAACCCAGAAATCCCCACTCTCCCAGCTCTCTCGCATCGGGCCAGAAAGCCGCTGGTTTTCTTTCAGTTGACACTTCCTAATCGCTTCGTCCTCACGAGTGATCATAGCCCTTAGGAATGTTTGGAGTCGAGACTCATACTCCCCACACCAGTCTTCGAGACCGCCGTCCGTGGGCCAATATTCGGGCTTCTCAATCAGAAGCCACCAAGGTGGCGCGTAGGAGAATTCAACGGGGGCGGCATATGTGAACTCCCAGTCCACGACTGCGGCAATTTTCGAGTCCTTATTGAGAAGGACATTACCTGGTCGGAAATCGTCGCACCAGAGTTTAAAAGGGCCATTCTCGAAAGAAGCCCACCGCTCTGTGAGTTTTCGCTCTCGGGCGAGCTTTCGGAAAAGACATCTAGCAACGAACTTTCGTCGACAGTCATCGGCTGAGTGAACGGCGTCGTTTCTTTGGTGCGTGAGATGTGCAATATGTATCTCTGCTAAGCTTTCAAAATATGATGACGCTGTGTCGAATGTCGTGTCTAGGCTCGGTAAACATGCTTGAGGTAGCGACCCCACTCGAATAAGTTCATTCATGGGCATAGAGAGAGGTCTGTGTGCGACTTCCCAGGTGAAATCATCAACCTGGCTAAGTGACCCTATATGGCAAAGGGAGGGCCGAGAAAGTTGAAGTAGAATATATGCTAGCTCTCCGTATAACCGCTCAAGTTCATCCTCATCAAAATCTGGGTCAAGAATTCCACGGTATGCCCGAGAGCGACCTGGCATATTGAGAACATCGTACATGTTCGTGTGATGATCCATGAACTCCATGATCATAAAGGGACCTAGCCCCAAAGGGCTATCCTTCTGCGTGCCCCAATGAAGGACAAAAGGAGCTGGGATTGAAGTTTGGTCAAGAATATATCGCATTATAGCGACCTCATTCCGGACTTTTTCTTCGGGGAACATAATAGCACCAGGCTGCGGGAGACGGATGATAGCGGAACTAGTGTTTTTGTATGTCATCTCAAAAGATATATTGAAAGCTCCTTTTTCCAAAAAATCAAATGAGTCAGGCTTGTCGGGTTCGTGGTGTCTAACAAGGAAACGTCCGAGCTCTCTCAAGATGTCGAGGTCGTCGAACTGGGCGATCCAGGCTTCAGAGATTTCTTCGCTTTTCTCCCAAGCCGCATCATCGTAGCACATGCGTGGTTGCATATTGATATGAAAAAAAAAGTGATTTTGATATCTTGGGTCTAAAGTGAGACATCAACTAAGCTACCGCAGAGACTGAATGGCGCGAAGGCATCCCAAACAATGTTTGATGTGCAATCTAATTTTGAGAAGGTGGAAGATGATAAGACCGGTGATCTGTGGGAGGCCCCAGTTGAGCGCATTCGCTTGAGATATTGATGTGATGTTAATGCCTGGTGTAGACTCGTCAAGACATGTCTTCTATGGGCGACGAATCGTGCCACTACGACAATGGGACTTTTTGGCTCACCGCTCTAATCACCGCCTTAGTAATTATGGGTTTAGGACGGTTCCATGGATATCTCCTTTGGTAAACACTGCTGGCATACAGTATATAAGATCGAAATAAAGTAATTGAGAGATGAGAAAACTGAGAGATCACCTATTTTACCATAAAGCTATTCAGATATCACCTGATTTATCATTATGAAGATTCAAGAGATTATATCAAGCTATTCAGCGGCGATGAGTGCAAGATAGAGGGGTAGGAAGAATGAAAAAGTGAGAGAGGGGGAGGAAGAGCAGCGAAGACGGGTCTTTTATGTCGGCGGCATTGAAGGTAGGTTACGTGACAGCGTATTGAGGCGCTAAACCCAAAGAGGCAAAACTAACCGCATATAGTAATTCACAGGTCCGTTTACAACTAGAATATGAAGACCTGTGAAAAGGACGCCGAAAATGACCACTTTTGGCGCCAGAAACGGCCGCCTTTCCACCCGTAACTTTGGACGTCCAGCCGCCCTTAAAACAATTGCCGCACGCTAGGTCATATGGGGACAAAATCTGGCACGTTCAATGTTGCGGTAAACCATTTATCCCTAGCCCCTTGCTCCTTGTCCCCGCCCATATAATGTTGCTGGACTACTGTCAAAGAGACGAGTTCTCAGTAGTTGGAAGGCTATCATACTTTGCTTAGCTAGGCTTGGCTTAGGCTTGCTAAAACGCGTCGCTTTGATAATTAGCCCGGCCGCTCGCAACGCGATATCGAGGCTACAGCAACGAAGGTTTTGACCGCCGATATTGATCGAGGTCCTAGAAATTGAAAAAGTAGGCAGGCACAGTTACTATGGAATATAGCGGGCTCAGGAAGAAAACACCTCAGAGAGAACGGCGACCAAAATAGGAGTTATATCTGGGGTTTCACGCTTCCCAACGCTGTAGTTCGTTCACTAAGAAGGGAGACAACGGAACGAACAAGGGTACACATATTAAGTTGAAACTCCCACGCAGACAGCATATCCAAGCCACAGTGATGCGCAACTGGTTCCAACGCTCGGATTCCATGTGTAGAAGTCGCTCAGTAAGATGGCATTTTGATCAGCAATGGCTTGGCAACCATCGCCCGACACCACAGTATGCCATTGTTGCAGTTGGAAGCCTCATCTGACATGACCTCCGCTGGCGGAGTGACGATTGTGCTGATGGTGGAGGTAGGCGCTGATATCGTTGAGGTCGTGGAAGTCGGAACTGCCGAGGAGTTCCTTTCAACGCATATTTGTTCGAATCCATCGCTGGAGAGTGCGTTCCAGACACCTGTATCACAATCACTACCGATCCAAGGATTAAGCGATGTGACGGTGGTGACAGAGAAGTTGAAAGAGACGAAAACATCGTGCAGTTGAAAGCACCTAGGGCGAGTAAGTCAGCAACCTTGATCTGATTTTCTTTTGGTTGACAGTATATGTCGTCTGGAAACCTACTCTTATCGGCAGCGCGGAGCTGGATATAGCAATTGCAATCAGATGGCTGAACACTGGTTGATGAAATTAGACTACTATTTGCGGCAAAGCAATAGTCGTATGGCAGATCTTGGGAAGCTAGGAAGGCGTTAGAGCTGTTTAAAGCGGCAACAGGACTAGGGCTAAAACTTGCTAGTTGTTTCTCCAGAAACAATGCAGTAACTATACCCAGACGTGAAGGTACAGTCACTGGCTGATAAGCTCGGGTTCCAGCTAAGAAGATTATCGACGGTGACCTCTGCGATGCTGGCCCAGATATTGCATGAATTCAGCGTTGTCGCATTCGCGATAGTCGAACTGAACGCGTTGTTATAAATTGCGCACCCTTCGATAGTACCAGACGCTGTGGGCTCGAGGGTAGCCGTGGCAGCAGGGGTCGGGGTGTATGTTGTCGAGGCAGGCTTCGTGAAAGTGTATGCTGCAGTGGTGGTGATATATCCGGTATAAGTAGCGATATTCCCTACTGCTTCAACACAGTATGACGTGTCCAGCCATATGTTTGTGCAGTTTGAATCTATTTGTGGATTGAGGAAATAGAAGTCACTCAAAGAAATGGCATACTTGAGTGAGATCGTTGAACAGTCCTCCCCAGATAAGACCTAGCAAAGTATTAGGTAAATTGAAAGCAGTCCAGGGCTGACTGTCATCACACACCTCATGCCACTCCGCACAATTGGTGTTGGATAGAGATTGGGCATCAGTAGGCACTGCTACGGCAGTGGTTGCGCTGGAGCCCTCGCTCACAATGGCTGTACCGGTTGGCGAGCTACGTTCGAATCAGTACTGAGAAATCAAGAGCACGCCGAATTTGAACAAACTCCCTTACCTGGCACAAAGATACCAGCCTCTCCAGGATGCCAAGTTTGAGCATCCCGTGTTAATATTCGGATTCCAGGCCAATAATTGAGCAAATTTTATGTTGAGATCGCTTACTAGCGAGTCACATGTATCGGCTAATTCCAATTGATATGTTGTGCAGGTCTCTGGGAGACACAGTGTCTTTCCTTCCGATATCCCGTTACAGGCAACATCGAGAGCATTTTCAGAAATCAAGTTGTAGGTTGAGACCTCGTTAGCAGCAGAAATTGTCACGCATGTGTCATTTGCTCGGACTGAGTATGATGATGTTAAACAAGTCGGTGGCGGATGTAGCCGTCGCATTGAGCGCGTACGTAGTGGAACTCGCGAAAGTATACCCAGTAGCACTGCAGCTAGAAGTTAGGGAGGGAAATTCCTCTGCACTTTCATCACTGTAGCCAAATGGTGACTCGATTTGAAGTTTCTGAAGACCAAGCTCACACAAAGAACAATTTTGTGCCGAAGTATATCCAGACCCATTGCTTACCCAGTCAGCGACTATTTCATCGCAGTATTTATTAGTAGATCTATTGTAGATGTTAGCAAATATACTCTTTCTGTGTTTTTGTTTGACTAACGGATCAGTGAGGCAAGATAGACCGGTGGAATAGAGGTAGCGATCCGTCGTGAATGTGGCTGATTGTGGTTTAGCACGGCAGTTGTGGAGAAAAACCCGACAACAAGTATCTCACCAGGATATGCAATTGATCCACCTGGAACCATCACATCCGTTGCTTCAGTGTATGCAGTTTGAATTGCTTGCCGCAGTCTAGTAAGATCAGAGCGACATGTACTTTCACACAGGACCACAAGTTGTTCGCTTGGAACAATATCAAAGCTCGAATCTCTGACAAGTGTCAGCAAAACCGAACCCATTGATTCCTCTGAGTACCATGTTGGGATACACACTCAACATGCTCGCCATTTGGAAAGAGTTTGAGCCTGCTTTCTATGAAAATCTCGTGCAGCATGGACAAAATTACCTTACGACCAGAATCGGGTTGATTCACCAAAAGTTTCCCTTAGGAGGGGCAACAGGTGATGTGGTATCAAAGGTGGTCTATGAAGCGGAGCAACTGAAAAAAGCTATCGACCAGATCACATTCAAAGTGTGAGGTTTGGGAAGTTCCAAAATTGAATGCATCATGCTCTTCATGTGCCACTTGAGCCGGCAGCAATGCCGGCGTAAACAAACCCTTCGGCCGATGGATGTCTTGACTTTCCAAATGTGACTATAAATCGAATTGTATGGGCAGGGGTTTTAGAATTAACCCCTTTTCCGGTGTGACATATGGGCAAAAAATCTGCCCAGGTGCCCAAGTGTGAGGATCGTATTTCTATACTAGCCAGTTGCCGAGAGATCATCTGACATGAAAGCTGAGGAGATGCAAACCCTGCAAATCCTGCAAATCCTGCAAATCCTGCAAACCCCCTTTTGGCTCAAACACCCGTCTCTTTTTCTACAATTCCCGGATTGAAGGCATTTTGTCCGGTGTATCGGATCTCAACCGATCTCAACCCGGATCCATGTTGCTTCGGCATCCTATCTTCAGTCATATCTCCGCGGTCTTGTCCCAGCGCTGTCTACCACGGAGCTCTCCAACCAGCGTCCGTAGGATTACTAGCAAGGCACAAGATCAGCAGACGCGCAGTATGCTTGACGATTACAAGAACATCGACGCTTCCCTCTCCGATAAATTTTCTAAAAAGCGCGGTTTACCCTGGGGATTCTCTATTTACCGCTGTTCTTATAAGGACGAGAGCGCGTGGAGTCGCCTACTTCAACACCTAAGAGAAAAGATCGAAAGCGACCTTGAATGCAACCAGAGAATGGATCTTCTGTCGCATCATCAGCTGGTCATCAATGACGATATCGAGAAACTCAATGGAGCTACATCCCACGATATTCGTGACCACTTCAACGCATGGGTTACAGACCAACTACCTCAGATCGTCGCCAGCCCTGAAGTACTCGAAAACCTTCAATCTGATGATAATAATGGGCAGGGTCCACAGTACTTTCTCGGCCCACGGTATAACTTTTGCCTCTTTGTGGATGATTTCTGTCTAGAGTCGCTTGAGCTTTTCAAGAATTCCCTTTGCGGTCCTGTTGTCAAAATTTTGTCTAAGCCGTGGGGTAATTTGACCCCTCAGGAAAGGGAATATAAGATACATCCGGAGTGGCATGATGGTGAGACAGACGACGAACTCGAAATGGTTGGATGGATGTATATCCCCATACACTCTTACGTGCAGTGGTTTGATACTCTGGAAGTACCCTCGGATTGGGAGGCGTTCTATGTACGGCCACCTATGATGATTGACGAGTGCAGCGTAGTGAACGTTGAAGAAGAACGGCTCGCTTCATTACGCCGGAAGTCTTAGAAGTATATCATTGCTGTCTGCGAGATCTAATCCATTGGCAATATTTCTTTTCATGGAATGGCAATTCATTCTGTTAAGCTCATTGATAGCGTCTTGTTACGGACATACTAGTCTCCAATCACATATAGAGACCTGCAACTACTGATAGGCCACCGAGAGCCAACCGATCTATCTACAATTTGCTCAATGGGAATGTAATAACAACTATGACCCGAAGTTCTCCGATGGGCCTTATACCCCAATCGGGTTCCTTTCCATAAAACTGTCCCTTTGAAATGGTTGCGCCAATTCCTACTGTGGTTTTCGTCATTGGGCAGTTCGCCGCCTCCATTGCCCTAACGAAGTTTTGCTGTAAGAACACGATCACCTGTTCATGCGCTTTTCCTGGCATGATTTGGAATAAGACGTGCTCGTCGGTGAAAGTGGCCCTAGAGCCACTATGTTTTTTTGCAGAAGTTGCTGAATTTCTTTCTGCCCGAGACCAGAGATCAGGAGATTGTGGGTGCGTATGTATGTTGACATTCGCATCGACCGTTTGCTGGATGCGAGCAATCTTCTTCCGTGCTTGGGGTAGGTTGCGGGCACAAAACTGTTCTGTGTTATCTGGGACCCAGCCATGTATGTAGCTTATTAACGGAATCAGGCCAGAAACTATACATGCAGGTATGCAGGGTAAGCACACAATCTGAGCACCTTGGAAGTCTTCAATCCATTGATTCTTCGTGGTCATATGAACTTGCCAAACAGATCACTTACAATCCTCTTCGGCAAAACAACGCACACGATTCATGCCATGTTGTATTCTGGTCCGTCGCACTCTCCGGCCGTTGCTCCAAAAAAGCCGGGCTGTGGCGCAACGCGCATTCTCTCGGGCAGCATAGGGCGTGACAACCTCACCAGGCACAAGCAATCATATAGTCGTGATGGATGAATGTTTCGCAATGCGGACGGCCAGACACTCCGCCATTCATGGAGTGAAGGCGGTGAGGGCGAGCACCCTCTAGGATACCTCAGCTGACAATTGATGGGATTGGGAAGAGATTGGCAAGAAAAACTCCCTCAATCCGAGTGGCAGCCTAGGATTCGCCGATCAATCAAGCCGATCATACAAGCCATCAATTTCATGTTATTAGGATGATTGCGATGTCTCAGCTCAGCGCCAGAGCTCCTTAAGGCATTTTTGAGGTTAGCTAGAGAGCGGAAGCGGGTCTAGCGAGCGACTCACCGGTTATTCAATCAGGGGTCGGCTGAAAGAGCAAAGGTGACCGTTCTGCAGCGCGCTGCGTGGCATTCGCGAACCGAAGCCTAGGACAAAGAGCGGCCAGTAGTCCTCCTACATTGCTCTTCAAATGTCCAGTTATCAAGCAGTCCGAGGATGTTGTCTACACCGGTTGAAACAGCGACCCTGTGTAGCGTACAGTATGAAACGAAGAATGTATTGAGCCATACAGAACTGGGAAATCAAGGGCGATCCGGGTGACTCGCATGGCCAGACCGACCGACCCGTTCGAAACTTCGAATTTCCGCGAGTAGGGAAGCAGGCTGTGTTTAGGACCTAGGGTTTTTAAGCTGGTAGGGGTCACTTTAGCCGACTAGGGAATAGCGACGGTGGAACACAATAGAAGGGGAAGGGGGAAAGGGTGTGGGAAAGAAGAGAATCACTGTCGAGCGACGTACCGCGGGGACTCGGGATCAACTATATCGATAAAATTGACTTCCTTAAAGCGTACCCCCTCGCACAAATTGAAGCTTTTAAATCAGAGACTATTAAAAATAGCTTTAGAGCAGCTGGTTTAGTACCTTTTAAACCCAATCGAGTAATCTCGAAGCTAAATATTCGTCTTCGAACCCCAACCCCCCCTCCGAGTAGGGGGAGTGAATCAAGCTAGAATTTTATACTAAAAATACCAACTACAGAGAAAGAACTATATCGACAGGCTTCATCGATTAAAGCTTTACTTCGTACAAGATCTCGAAGCCCACCTAGCCCGTCAGATCGTGCATTAAATCAACTTGTGAAAGGCTTCCGTCTTACGTTACAAGGCGCTATTTTACTCGCTAAAGAAAATAAGGACTTACGCGCCGCCAACGAGAAACAGAAGCAAAAGCGGACTCGGTCAAATAGGTAAATAGCCCATAAAGGGGATCTCTCAGCTCAGGAGGTTCGTGAGCTACATTCGGAGCCATTTGAGGCCCAAGTAGCGCGTATCAATGCCTATCGTAAGCAGGTTTCAGAGGGTTTAAACTTTACAGCCAGCTACACGGGCCGGGAGAGCGTGTGGAATATATAGATTACCGGGGCATAGAAGAGAAACATGTCCAGATAGATAAATCAGTTTAGTTAAACTAATTTAATAGTGTTTTGGTTGAGATAAATGCATTTGAATTCAATGGGTTAGTTTAGGTGCGTCACTCGGTGGTATGCGTCACTCGGTAGTGAATTACGTTAACTAGTATTGTATTACTAGTTAGTTAGATGTATTAGTCCAGTTTAGCCAAGTAAACTTTGTGATAGGCTAAAATAGCTAGTACAGTGGGGGTTTCCAGAGCAGGATGACTAAGCGGCTATATGACATAAAAGCACTCCCAAGGCATAACTAGATAGCAACGCAGACACCTTCCACCTCTCTTCTCGGTAGTCACCCCATGGTGTTCTCCTCTCTAGCACCCTACTACTCCCAGTGACGACTCTGCTCTCACACCTGTTTCGCAGGCAGGGCTGTCGGTGCCCCTATCCTAGGGACCCCTCTTCATATTATGCAGTGGGGAAAGTCGGGATGCCTAGTTTAGTGGCCTTGTCCTTCAGGCAGAGAAAACGAAAGCCTGGTTGTCAAGTAGAGTTTCGGGGAGCAGATAGTCTAGACAGAGCATCACTCCAAGAATGAAAAACGAGTTGCGAGATGTTTGTGCACTAGGAGATTGTATACTATGGTGTGGTCTATGTGATCCCTATGCTTGCTAGCTGACCGTCCTGGATGGTTGGTGTTGTTGTGTCGTTCTCGTCTTGCCTGCATGGCCAGGCTGCCCATCGTGTATTTCCCTCTTCAATTATATGGATTTCTGGATTGCGTGCATCGAGAGGACCTTCGATGCTATATACTGGCAAATGATCGACAGTCGATTTTTCGGACCAACTAGGTGTTCTGATCCCGCCGATGCATGGAAGGAAAGACTTGAGCACTTGAACTCCGAGGAGAAACTTGATATGGAACGGCTTGTTGTGCAGAAACTGGAGGAGATGAATAGCAGAGTTTTGGCGTGGGATCCGGATGAATATACACTAGGTCATATGGATATCAAGAAGGCGAAGGACGAAAGCGACCTTCAACAAGGGACCGAGGCTGATGAAAGTGAGCAACCTATCCATAATGAAGCGGACGATGCAGGTACATTGGAGTTTGCGAGGTTAGCTGTTTAAATATAGATCTATCTATGTCGTGCATGAGTATGACAGTGGCAAGATAACAAGAAACAAGATCATAGCGTCATCGACCAAAGGCGGAGAGGTGTCATAAACATGCGTACGGTGATCTCGCAACGGACCTCGTATACACTCCAATATGCCTCTGAAATCAAGTATATGAAATATATCAGATCCACGAAATACCCCATATATCAGATCTAAGATCTATTTCCACCCCGGCAGTCTTGGCTCTCTCCGCCCAGTGCCGTGTGAGCCGTCAGCAGGTCATTTAGGTGGTTTTCCTCTTTCACCTTGTTCCACCTTTCACCTTTCATCCTCTACTCACAATCCCATTCTATCAATCTTGACTTGTAAGTTGCTTCCTTTCCTCGATTTCATTTGATACCGAGTTCCATATCTGCCTGGGTTGGGGATGTGGTCGGATCATCAGACGCGCTATACATTGACCAATGGTGCAAATATGTACATTGTACCTTGCTCGGAGGATTGATGGGTTTCATATACTCTGAATTGCTCTGATTGGTCTTGTTTCTCTTACTTGTGTTTCATATTTTATGTGTTGGAAGAGACAACACCTCCCCTCGTGATCCTACTATGCGCCCCCCCATTGCATGTCTGTGCCGCTCACTGCCTAAACCATCTTCCTCTTTATATTTGCGCCTCATTGTCTTTCATTTCAGACATCTCTTCGCTCCCAAAAAATACTCATTGCTGATTTATTTAGCACTTGCAGCCCAATTCTTCCTATTTCGGCCTCGACCGACCGACTCCTACGTCAGCCTCGCAGCGCCCCCTCCGTGCTCGCCCCGCCCATCACTAAACCACCATCCCGATCCACCAATTCCTCTTGAAGGGATACAATCAAGCTGGCAGGAAATAAGCGCCGCAGTTTTTCTTCGCAGGGTGGGTTACTGAGCAGAATGTTCAGTGGCTCCTCGAGCCCACCTAAAGATAAAGTAGACGCACTCCCAGAGGCTGGCCTCGACCCCAACTCCTTGACCCTCCAAACCGATTCAATCGGTACCAGTCCACGAGATAAGAGGTTTTCTCCGCCCAGCGCTGGGTTTTTCAACCGTCGACAAAGTGAAGAACAGGGTACCACTGGCGAGAAGAAGCGCAGGAGTAGTACCGTCACCAAAGCGGCAAACTTCTTCAATAGCGCCAAAAGTTCTCTGAGCTTGAACGGCCGAGATAGTTCTGCGATCAGCACCAGTCCCTCGATCGCAGAAAGCCCACTACAGAAGCTTGGAAAGATGGACCCAGCCCTCAGCGTCCCTCAAGGGTCGTTCAATAACTCCGCCGGTGAATCTGCGCCGACTGCTCGGTCATCCTTCCGCGTTGGTGTTACCGAAGACCGCAATCGCAAATGTCGTCGGACAATGGAAGATACGCATGCCTATCTCTACAATTTCCTGGGCACCCCTGCCCCAACTGCACCAGAGCTAAATGGTGCTAGTTCCCCCAAGACTAGTGTGTCACAGTCATCAGAGGATTCATCTACCGTTGTAGAAACAGACAATGGCTATTTTGCGATTTTCGATGGGCATGCCGGCACCTTTGCCGCAGAGTGGTGTGGAAAGAAGTTGCATTTGATTCTTGAGGATGTCATGCGCAAAAGCCCAGGCACTCCCGTTCCAGAGCTTCTCGATCAGACTTTCACCAGTGTGGACCAGCAGTTGGAGAAATTGCCCGTCAAAAACTCTGGGTGCACAGCCGTCACTGCCGTGCTTCGGTGGGAAGATCGTGTACCCAACTCACAGTCGGCCACCGGTTCTTCTGCCATTGGCACGGCGGCTGCCGCGGCGACGAAAGCGGATGCGAATTCAGAGAATGTCGAAACCCCGACTCAAGCTACCCCGGGCATCTCTGGTGTGCTCCCGAAGTTGCAGGATAAGGCTATTCGGCAACGGGTATTGTACACAGCCAACGTTGGCGATGCACGCATTGTATTATGTCGTAATGGGAAAGCACTTCGTTTGTCCTATGACCATAAGGGTAGCGATGAGAATGAAGGGAGAAGAGTTGCCAACGCTGGCGGGCTGATCCTGAACAACCGTGTGAATGGAGTTCTGGCCGTCACCCGTGCCTTGGGCGATGCATACTTGAAAGACCTCGTGACTGGGCATCCCTACACGACAGAGACGGTTATCCAGCCAGATTCCGATGAGTTTATCATCTTGGCCTGCGATGGTGTAAGTTGAGATCTATTCAAAGTTGATGATACAAGAAAGCTAATTATACTCCAACAGCTATGGGACGTCTGCAGTGATCAGGAATCTGTCGATCTAATCCGGAACGTTGAAGATGCTCAACATGCCTCAAAGATTCTTGTTGACCACGCCCTTGCACGGTTCAGCACCGACAACCTGTCTTGCATGGTGATTCGCCTCGACTCCAACCGTGTGAAGGACATTGTCAACAACAATGCGGAATTGATAGGAGTGGACGGGGACCCGCATACAAAGGTGGCTGGGGGCGTGAGTGAGGCCGATAAGATTGTCGAGAAAGCACAGAAGAGCCTCGTGGCTTCCGGTCTTGCAGATAATCCCGCAGCGGCAGAGAAGGCCAATGAAGAGGTTCTTCAGAGAATGGCCAAGAGCAATGACAAACAAGACCCCGGGCCCGAGACGTCATCTAAAGAGAATAACGGCCTTCCCTCTGTGGACATTCTGAGTCCGAATAGGAGCCCGGATAACCCGTCCGGCTCGACTCAGTGATTTTACGACATGTTATGAAGCCGAAACACCATTCTGAAGCTGTGAAACGAATTGATAGAACGTGTCCATTTCTTTCTTTTCGTCTGCTATCTACATCTGGTGCTTCTGGGAGCAATGTACCCAACCTGGAATATCTTCTAGAGTTTCCCTTCCTGTCGCTTACTTATTACATTGCACATTGGCGTCAATGGTGCACACTGGTTGCCCGTTGTCTTCATTTTTCAACCTTTTGTTTATTACGAGATCAGACTTGGTGGTCTTGATGCCTTTTGTTAGCATAAGTCTTTCTATTCTTTCTATTATTAGGATATTTGTCCTGAATTTGGCCGCTATGAGATTAGGCTCTTTTGTTTTCCATCCAATGATTCTTTAAACCGAAGACATGGTACATAGGTATCTGTCTGTTGTGTCCGCTGCTGGTGTAGGGTATGATCAGCGATGATGCGATGGACATTAGGATAGACAGTCGGTTGCTTTGCTATGAACGAAAAGGATGTTGATTTAGAACACCCTAATTAGTCGTTTAAACTTGAGGCCTTGTGCTTTATAATATCTTTTACACCGTTCATCTTGAAAACGAAGATGATACAAAGAAAGAAACGTAAGAAATCGCACTTAACAGGACGCTAGAAAAGATGTCAAAAGAAGACAGCACTTGGGAGGTGGCCATATCTTCTTGTGATTTAATATATCTAAAAGTACAATTTATGGATGCTAGGATAAGCTAGACAGAAAGACAAGAGAGAAAATACAAAAAGCACCAACCATCAGACCAAAGCCAGAGGGAAATGGATATCAACACACACAAAACGTCTCGTCTTGGTCTGCGACGGACAGGAGAGAAGAAGAACGTCAATGACACCAAACGTCTACGCCTGCTCAAACGAACCGTCGGCGATGATGTCCTCGCTAGGGACTGGAAGGTCCTCCTGGCCAATCATGTGGTTGCGAGTCCAGCGCAGCTGACCGTGCTCAATGTAATCGGGCCAGTTCTTCGCAAACTGCGCATCGTACGTATCCTGCCACAAGATCTTAACAGACTTCTCCTGTGGTGCGTTGTGGTCCGCGCTAATCTGAACCTGCAGCTGCTCCTCGAGCGATGCAACCTCGCCCGCACGTTCCTTAGCCTGCGCGGCCTCCTGCAGGAGAGCGGCACGCCTGCGCCTACGGGCCTTGAGAGTCTTGTATCCGGACTTGGAGCTCTCCGGCACACCCTCCACGATATGGTCCCGGTGCTTCTGCAGAACGAAAGCGATGTCGGCAATCGCGGTGGCCTTCTGGTTCATCAGGGCGTAAGCACGCTCCTTCTTCATCATGATCTGGCCCACTCTTCCCATGTTTTCCTTGTCCCATTGCTTCTGGTCCCTGAGGTCTACCGGCCGCTTCGAATCGAGATATTCTTGTGTCACGGTGATCATTTCCTTGGGCGGGGAGAGCTGGCGCAGCAACGCGAATTGCCGCAGGTGGTTATAGACGTTCAGTCCGACTTGTGCCTCGTTGAAGTGCACAGAGAAGTATGGCACCCACATATCCTTGCGGACTGTGGCGGGAATGGTCTTCTTGCCATGGTTGACACATTGCTTGAGGAGGTTGTTTTTCTAAAGGTCCCACAAGTCAGAAAATTGCGATATCGCAGACTGGAAGGATACGACAGCATAGAGGGTTTCGCGAGAGACCGGAGATTTCAAAGCCCGCGTCAGTAGGGGAAAAGAAACTCACCTCCAGGTAGCGAGTCAATGAGTATACAACCTGTTTCGTGCGGATGTTGTTGTACACGAAGATGTTCTTGCCGTGGCTGACGGAGTTCAAGGCCTTCTGTAACCGTCGACCCTCCTTTTCCTGATGGTCTTTGAATGCATTTGAGCTCGGTACTCGGGGCTTTCCTTGAATTGGTAATTTCGGATCAATCGGTGGCCGGCGGATGAATTTCGTGGCCGCAAGTGCTGTTGCATCCAGCACCTTTTGGAAAGACTTTGCGTTGGAGGCCATTGCGGCCGGACCGGAGGCTGCGTACAGTCGATCTGGGAAGAATCGGGGCAGTGAGAAGTGCGGCTTTATTGCATTGGTGGGAGGCGCCAGACGGTGTTGATCGAGAGAGACGGGAGGTCGATTTTTTGACGGGGAACGCTGAGGTCTTGGCGCTTGCTCTCCGCATCATCTCTTATCAGCTCACTACTCTCTCTCTCTCTCGCCAATTCAATTGCTTCAAACTGCAATTTGCCTGTTACTGTTGTCTTTAATATGAGTGACTTGATTTATTAGCAACGCACTACTTAA